AGAGAACGAAAGGCGCGGTGGCGGAGGATGAGGCGGGAGGGAGATAACAACGCTTGGTGACAGTGATTCCAGATTCGAGCATGACAGCGGGGATCGAAGAAGCTTTAAAACGTGGGTTGAGCTCTGACAGACAGGCCATGATGTTTCTATTTTAGATCCTGGCCGACAGCCGAGTGCAGGTCGAACAGGATCGGGGAAATTGTGGTGGTGGGAAAGCCGGCGAGGGATTGGCAGCGGGGGGGAGGGAAAGAGGGCAATCCCTGAGAGCAAGTGGGGATCCCTTCATGCACGGACAAGGAACGGCTAGTCAGCCTGGGCTAATTTTGGAGATTTGCGAGCGCATTTTTCACTTTTTGTTTTCGCGCTCTTCAACCTGGCGCGTATGCAGCCTATCCGTGCCACTGATTGGATACGGCCGGGAGAGAGCACTGTGCGGCTGGGCAATTGATTGGCATGGAAGCTATCGCAATTGCCTGCCCAAAGACCAATCTCGCACGGGACAGATCGGTGGACGGGCTGGGGTTCATTGGCCTTCTCTGTTTCTTTTTTTGGTCCCTCTATCGCGATATCTGCCTCTAGAGGGATCATCTGTACTACGATCGTCCAGTCAATCCTGGTGACCCAAGGGTTCGAGTACCACCTCGGAGTGCTGCACTCAGGTGCTACAGTATTTCTGCAATGCTGCAGAAAGACCTCACTCGTGGCTACAGAGACAATGGTAACTGAGTAAGTGGTACCCGTCGCGCAATCCGGGAGGTGGAAATGATAACCAAGTAACCCCGTCGGCCAATCGCAGGCCTTAGTCACGCAAGCAATGCATGATGGATGTACTCGGTCGTGATACTACTTCGTAGTGGGAGTGACTTTCACCCGATCTGGAAAATGCATAATCAGTATCCACCGTCTTAGTAGGTACGCTGATGGAGGAGACAGAGGAGCAGATGGATGACTACATGGGGGAGGGGAGTACAACCGTTGAGGAGAGTGGGGGGAAGGAGAGCAAAATGCCAGGCACATTGCCAACCCAACCGGCTAATGCGGACTGGCAGGAGGTGCTCGAGGGAGGTGGAATTCCAACCCTGTCTGGTGAACAAGGGTCTTGTGCCTTCGGTGCCAATCAGTGTGCCGGGCGGCAAGTGGGTGGTGGTGGTGAGCTCGTCGAGAGTCAAATGCAATGCGGGGATTCAGTCGCAAGTGGCAGTCCAGCACCTACAGTAGTAAATAGTAGCTAATTTAGTGCGGATGAGCCAAGCTTCCCTCACTGGCCGGGGATTGGCCGCCCCCGACATGGTTGCTTGCAGAGCGGGAAACCCGCAGCCAACCGGGCTGCAGTGGGTCGGGCCTGAAGTGCCCCGTGCAACCAGTGCCAACCAGTGGTATCCCTCTGCCAAGATGTGACCAGATGCCACTAACCTCGCGATCCAGGCCAAGACCCTGCTTGACTGGATGTGGTTGGCTGTCTGCATTGGGTTTTTGTTATTATTGTTCATTTTAACCGCCCAGGAGAAGCGATCCCCTCAGTTCCCAGCGCTGAATGAAAGACTATTCTTATCGTCCACTCTGTCTGTCGGATTATCCACAACCAGCTTCGGCCATAATTAGCTTGTGGTCGGAATAATTAGGCAAGGCCATGACTCGGTCCTGGACCGTCCCATGATCCATGGTCCGCGCGAAGATCTGACAGCGGGACTTATAGTGGAGAGCAATAATCATCAACTGGGCGCTAAGAATTTAACTTTGGCGTGCCTCTGCAACCATGCTTCCCAGTCACACCTCTTGTCACATTCGGCAACGGACGTGCGCTGTTGTTAGAATTTTGCGCCCATTGCGTTGTATCAGTCAAGAACATCGTTCACCTAATACTCAGTATACGGAAGACGCGTCTATCGGCAAAATGAATATCTCTACCATGCTAGCCAGGACGGCTTCATTTCCTCCTCATTGAGAAGTGAATTTGATGCACACCTCCATCAGACAGACTCGATCAGCACAGACCGCGTGGGCAGATGTCGGAAGCGAGTTACGGCCACCGACTCCCGTGCTAGCTTGATTATCACGATGCGCGCCTGCCATTTCTTATCACATTCCTGCAGCTGCAGGCTAGCGATTAGCGTCCCTTTTTCCCGGCCATCAAAGTCTCTCTCAACAAATCAAAGCTCCCAGTCGTATAATCACTTGGCGCCGGCTTTTACGAGCGGCACGCCAATGATAGAGGACGTGCCACCACTGTTGCAATCCCTCGAGTCGACTCGATGCTAGTAGTGCTTGTACCCCTCTATCCTAAATTCATGAGATCATCACCATACCTTTACTAACATCCAAATTTATGCATGCCCCCTGTTCAGTATCCACGTTTACGCTGGGAATGTCCTTTCCGCTGCTCGCCAATTTACGTGCGCAATTTACTGCATCGCAAGCGCAGGAACTTGCGAACAGCGCCAATTCTCTGGCTGGTGTGCTTCCCCGATGCAGATCACTGCATGGTCCCAAAGCCAACCCAACCCCGGCAAGTCAGGTGCTTGCGGCGTGCCTGGCATGCAGTCTGTACAGTTATCACACCGAGTCACCTGGGCTACGTCTCTCTCTTTCTCAGTTGGGTTAGTATGTTCACTCACCGCGCTTTTCGTGGCGTCGGTAAATTATGGTCATTTCATCGAATATCTCCGAGAAGCAGTTATACACCGTTAACAATCCACTCTGTGCGATGGAATTAGCTGTGTCCTCCAAGTGGGGTTCCACGACTGTTGCTGTGCTTGCTTTTCTCAAATTTTGGCGTGACACCAAACTACCTGGATTCGTAGAGTTTCCTGTTTGGTAGATTTAGTCTGCTCCTCATTGCCGCTGCTGAATTTGTTGGGTGGTGGCGTCAAATTGTGCAGTGCTTTGGTTCTACCTTGGCGATGGATCTCGCTAACTACCAGTGAAGGCTCTATTGATCCGTGCGAGGCAAATAAAGCGCAAACATGATTGTCTGGTGTTCTCGCTTGACAGACTCTTACCTTGGTTAGCAGTGGCTAAACTATACAATGCACATCTAGCATAGACTTGAATAACCTATGGCCCACGCTGTCTGAAAGTAGCTTTGCTAGTTGCTGGATTCGGAACACAGATGAAAATAGATTTACTATTAGGCACATGTAAAGTAGAGTTCTCAGTAAATCGCAGGAATTGAGCAACCAAACTATGAAAGTAATTCGAACATTTGCAGCCTAACTCGATCTACGCATGCGTGTCAATCTCCGAGAGAGAGCTATACACGCACAAATTTCTTCAACCACATAACACCCAACAATGCTATCATCTGAATTGCATCATCATCACTCTTCTATTCCCTACTCTCGACAGCTATGTGCTCCCATCTCACAAGACCCCCACAGTCCCTTGCAGTTCTCCAAATGATACTATTTCTGGCAACGAAGCATGACACCGTGGATGAACTTAACCGGGGTTCCATATTCACAATCAACATAAATATAGATAAACCAACAAAAAGCAACCAATCATCCAGCAAAGCAAATCCCCAAAAGTTAGTAGACCCGGCGGTTAAGCACAATCTAGTGGATCAACAAGCTAAAAAAACAAAGAAGAGAAAAGAACACCTCCATTACAGTTCTACCATCCAGCGGCCCGGATCCGATCCAGATCTCCTATCTATCCATCCAACCCTAGTAGCATGAACGAATTGAAGTAAGTAGTAAACTCCCAAAATAGAAACCCACCCCAGTCATCTTCCAATCATATTCTCTGCTAGTATCAGATCACACACACACCCACCCAAATCAGATGTACATAGTAGCCGCCGCCATGTCCCCGTCGACCCTCCCCGGCGTCTAAATGAGGGGTAAGGCATAGCATGGCATGGCATCTAAGAATAGCTTGCTTTCTTCACTCCAGACTAAACATCTAAAGATGCATGCATGAGATCATACTATACACTACCGGATAAGCATCCTCGGGATAAACCTTCATCAATTAATAGTTCATCTTAATTTCGTTTCTAGAAATAGCCTGCATATCTTGATGCCGCTATTGCTTCAGCCTCGCTTGCCGAACAACCATTTTATCAGATCCACAACTTTGACGCTCTGCATGTAGGCGCCGGGATAATTCGGTGGTATTGGATGTGTCTGGTAGGGCTGGATTGGACTTGCTACAGGAATTGTAGCACATAGATCAGTGGGCAGATTGTGGCGGGATTTATTGGATATTAGGCGCTGGGTGTATCCGGCTGGATGGGTCGTTGTCTTTGTTGGGGGGGCTTTTTGCTAAGAATAACTGTTGTGAGTTGGTAGTGATGGGGAGTTAGGCTGTAGGATGTGTCATGTAGAGAGGGAGATGTTTTATCTTGGGAGAGTGTGGTGGTCACGACTGGCTATGAGTTCGTTGTAAAGATCTACGGTTGCTGTTCCGGCCGTTGGATGTTAGGGCGTTCGGGTGCCTGGAAGCTGTGGTTGATGCTATTATTATCCTGGAGTAAATTCGATATATTGCATGCAGATTGAGTCTAGAAGCTACTCGCTAGTAGCTTGGATTTGGCCTCTCCATTCTGCGTGGGGTTGGCTCTGGCTCTCTCAGATTCCGGCAGTTAAATGACGCTTGGGCAGGTGATGCATGAGAGGGTTGCTAAATTTATCGCTATTGTCTGTCAACATTTGCTCAAAGATGTATACTTTTGTACCTTATTTATCAACGTGACTAGTTAATGTGTGAAGCGTCAACAATCAAAGCAGTCATGTTGAGTCCTAGTACTACTACAATACCTAGGGCTATGTTAGTAGTAGTGCTCCGTAGTATATATTTCGGATCCGGTTCGGTGCTGCAATGATGGGATGATGTCACCACAACATATATTAACATACTACTCTTTGTCCTGAAAGTTCTTACTGCAATGCTACATCTTATTCAGTTTATAGTTATAATCATCTTCACTCATTCACACGGTCCTGCAGCCGCATGCTGTGCCTCCGGAATTGCCCACCGCTCATTGGCCAGCGCGGAGACCGAATGCTTACCTATCGCATGCAGCTAAGGGCACCGACGACTGCGCAAAAATGCTGGCCTTTGTTTTCGCAGACTTCCAGCCATCTGGGCGGATATTCCTTCTTCTTCATATCCTGTCGCATACCATGCGAAACAGACTGTCATGTTTCGTCTCCCGATAGTGCGCGCGTTCTTCCGCGCATCGCCCCAGCCGGTCACGGCTTCCTCGCTCCTCCACTCTACCCGTATCCCCTCTCACATTCCTCGCTCCACACCTCTAATCCGACGTCTTTCGTCAAGAACTCGTGGGACCTCCTCAACGGCCTTTCTGCCTTCGAGTCTCCTTTCTCGTCAATCACAGTCCCGGCTCTTCTCCAAGTCCGCCCGCAGCCGTGCGAAGTATAATCGGTTCGAAGAACCGCAGTTTCCCAGACTCCAAGATGGCGAGCATTTGCAGCTCTGGCTCGTACTCATTGCCGTCGGAGGAAGCTTCTATGTCTATAACCTGGAGACTGTGGAGGTGCGTTGCTCATACTTCATAGACATATTCTATTTGCAAGCTAATGTTCTTCGTCCTTAGCTGACGGGCCGCACTCGATTTAACTGCGTATCCGACGAGCTCGAGAAACAGATGGGAGACCACGAATACCATGCAATCATGAACAGAGCTGAAGGCTTGATTCTACCTCCGTGGCATCATATCTCCGAAGAAGTAACCCGAGTCTTCGAGCGGCTGATAGCTCATACACCCGTACAAGACACGAAATGGGAGGTGCACGTTATCAACGATATGTCGGAGCAGAACGCATTTGTCCTTCCGAAGTAAGGCATTCGGCTACCTCTGTAAATCATACTATACAATTCTGGGATGGTTTGGCTGATGGGTATATCCTACAGTGGAAAGGTATTCGTGTATACTGGCATCTTGCCGGTTTGCGGAAATGCTGATGGTCTTGCGGCGGTGCTGGGCCATGAGATCGCTCATGTGCTGGCCCATCACCAGGCTGAACGCATGAGCCATTCTGTTCCCAGTGTTATTCTGACCTATGGGCTGGTATATCTGTTTGGCAGTCTCGGACATTTCGCGTCTCAGATGTTGGATTGGTCTGTCAATTTGCCAAACACACGGGTGCAGGAGGTATGTGACTCACGGCGTATGGCTGAATAAACATAAACTAACATGTTACAGGCTGAGGCAGACAAAATCGGGCTGAGTATGACATACTTGACGTCAATTATCTATGTCCTTCTAACCCCTGATAGTGCTGATGGCCAAGGCCTGTTACAACCCTCGTGCCGCAGTTGACTTGTGAGTAAACAGACTGGCTTACTGTATATATCCTTGTTCTTCGGACTAACAAGACTTAGCTGGAACCACATGCACATGACTGAAAGAGTTCGTGTGCCTGAGTTCATGTCCACACATCCATCGGTGAGATAGTCCAAATCCCAGCCATCACTAGACAGAATTCAACTAACGACGTCAAAGGCATTCAACCGAATGCAATCAATGAGCGAAAGGTAATATACCAGATTCTTCAGTCCCCCTTTCAGCCATGCTAACCAAACTACAGGCTACACAAAGCCGAATCCTTGTACGAAAACAGCGGATGCCATATGGTCAGAGGCTACAGTAAGCGCCCAGCCAACCCACGAAATTCAAGTTATAACACTAACAACTTCCCCAAATCAGTCCCTGATTTCACCGACGCAATCGACCACTACGCAGGCCCTCAGGAGAGAGCTCCCCGTATCAGAAGTCATCATCCGAGAGGTGGTCATCATGGCAGAGGCCATCATGAACAATTCCAGCCTGATGATAGCTCTGACGGCGAATACTTCTTTTGAAAGTACCTCAGCGTATACTTACTGTAATACTATGATGAATTTCTGTCCTTGGATCCTTTCATCCTGATACTGTGGATCGGATCCGCACAAGGCCTAGCGTGATATGAGCGATTTAGCATGTATCTATATACCTATCTCGCGTTGACTTTTCTCGGGATACTCCACTCTGCTCGCATCCAAATCTCTATGGGAAACTCTTTAGCTTTGAGTCATGCTATGTCTCAAACACTAGCTCCTAATTGGACTGACGAGATCCTGATACCTCACCCCTGTAAGACGGTCATTCGGAGCCACAGCGCCGTCTGCGCTTGATCGGCGAGTCGGGCGCAATAAACCACCGACGCTAAACCAGGCCCTACTGTATATAGATCCTCATGAACCTACCTACCTATAGACCAGCCATACAATACTCTAACTTTTTCTTTCTATCATCTACATGTCTACTCATTTATACATATATCTACAATTACTACTCACCTGAAATCCCCCATACCATGTCCAACCGCGTCCTAATCGCCGGCGGTGGCCTGGGCGGCCTCGCCCTAGCCCAAGGCCTCCGCAAGCACAACATCCCATTCACCGTCTTCGAACGAGACGCAAAGCAAGACTTCCGCGCCCAAGGCTACAGACTACGCGTCATGCAAGAAAACCTCCACACCCTCCTCGTCCCCCAAATATGGTCCTTGTTCGAGAAAACCGCTGCCCTGGACGACGGTCTCCCAGGCGTAGGTGTCCGACTCGACGCACTGACCGGGGAGCCCCTCCCCGCTGGTAGCGGTGGACCGCCGCTCGGGATCCATGGAGCCAGACCGTACACTGTGGATCGGGGGACGATGCGCGAGGTCCTTCTGCAGGGTCTTGGGGAGGAGAATGTGCAGTTCGGGAAGCGGTTCGAGCGGTATGAAGTGAGGGATGATTGTGTCGTTGCGTATTTTGCGGATGGGAGTTCCGCGATGGGAGGATTGCTCGTTGGTGCGGATGGAGCGAGGTCGCGAGTTAGGAGGCAGCTTGTGCCGTGGTATCCGTTTGTGGATACGGGGATGAGGATGATTTACGGCAAGACGGGGATCACGGGGGATGTGGAGGGGCGGTTGAATGAGTTGGCGAGGAGGGGGATGTCGCTGGCGAGGGATTTGAGGGAGGAGGCGCCGAAGACGTTGTTGTTTGAGCCGATGAGGATGCCGAGGGGTGATGTTGGAAGGATAATTAAGTTGCCGGAGGATTATTTGTATTGGGTGTTGCTTGTTCATCGGGATTTTGTGGGTATGGAGGACGAGAAGGTTCTCAGGTTGAATGGGGAGGAGTCGGCGAGGTTGTCAATGGAGTTGTCGAGGGAGTGGCATCCGTCGGTGAGGGTTTTGTTGGAGGAGCAGGATGTTGAGCAGACTTCAACGCTGAGGATGGCGTCTGTGAGGCCGGATTTGCCGGCTTGGGAGACGGATTCGAGGGTCACGCTGCTTGGGGATGCGGTTCATGTTATGCCGCCGACGGGTGGGCAAGGGGTGAATACGGCGTTAAGGGATGCGGCGGTGTTGGTTGAGAGGATTGTGGAGGCGAGGGAAGTGGGTGGAGGGGATGTTGTTGCGAGGTATGAGGAAGAGATGAGGCAGTATGCGCGGGAAAGAGTCGGGTTGAGTTGGCAGGGCGGGTATAAGGCGTTCAATCTGAGGCCGTTGGAGGAGTGTGAGAGTGTTGAGTTGTCGTAGTTTGGATTCTGTGTGAAATGAAGTTATTGATGATCTTGTTGGAGTTTTGCGGAGGATAAACGATGCCGCAAGGTGAGGATGGAAATAACATGAGATTGCGTGCGGGCGTGGTACTAGTTGGCCAAGAAACAGTGTGGGGCCTTGACCGCTGTAAAGCCTTATTGAAGCTAGACTCCGTTAACCAATGGAATTCTACAAAGAGTACTAAGTAGTAGTATAGTATAGTATAACTATTATGCATGCCCAGTCCCAGGAGAGAAATATGTAGAGAACCTACCAAGGAATACTTATTATCTATGATTCTCTCTTTCTGCTGTCTCTATACTAAGCCGTATAAGGTTTTCTACCATATGTTCTCCTTTCTCCTCTATCGGGTTCTCGTTATAACTTTCTACAACTGGTATTTGAGGAGCCTCCTAGCTGGACCTATAAAAATAGACTATAATCTTTTTCTTGTTTTCACATGCAGGCTATTCTGTCTTTGGCAAGCAAGTAGAAACCAACATACGAGCTGCTGATCAGCTGAAAGCTCAGGAATACATATCAGTATAGACTTAGCATCGCCGCGAAGGAGGCTAAAACAGAGAATGAAAAGAATTATCTCGCACAAATTCCCATGGAGGTCCATCCCCGACTTGCAATTTGTTTGCCAATACTGAGGTTAGATCTAGCTACTGGGTTTGCTTGATTCTTAGTGAATCGTGACGTACTATAACACCTGAAAACTTTGACTACATGTCGAAGTGAATGAACGTGTTACTTACACCTTTATCTCTCCCATCCCATATCTGACATCAGTCCTTGTTCTTCCCTACTCTACTCTCTTCTATCTCCCACACCCGTGAGTTTCTTGGTTTGAAACTGCGTCTCCCAATCTCTCTCAAACTATCCCATGCAACTTGTAAACACGGAATATTTACTTTCGAGTTCCTTGCTTACCATCCTCTCGGTTTCGTTGTCTTTCTTGAGAAAACAAATCTCGTCATGAGTCATTCAAGCACTCTACGGCCGTATGTGACCAGGCAACACCGTCGTGAACACAGCCTTCATACTCTCAGTGCTTTGGCGACCAACCTCCAAACGGCCGTAAACAATACCATCGCTGCCGGAAGCAATTATGAATCAGTTGAGGTGCTTGCCTTTCACTGGGCGAACGATACGATGGGTGTAGCTGGCTTGGAGGCCGAGCTTTTACAGTATCTGACTCAAGTATATGCATACAACTGCGAGTCTTATGAGATCCCCCTCCAGGCTTCTTCCGCTCTACTCATGAACAAGCTCTCCAATTGGTCTGTCGCCCGGCGTGACAAGGATACCTTAAGAATATACATCTACTCGGGTCATGCCGGCGGCATGGGCCCGGAAGACTTGTCGTGGACGATTGCGTAAGTGTAGTCTCCCTACCAAACGATACGCGAAGATTCTAACAGTGATTGTATAGTGGCCAGTCCAACGCTAAAGGAGCCATTACTGGGCCCAGCCTAAACATAAAGTCAGCACTCTACGCGTGCGAGAACATGGAGGGAGATAGCCTCTACATTTTCGATTGCTGTTCCGCTTGCTCAGTCGCGCTGTGGGATGGGCCGGAAGCCATTGCAGCTTGCGGCTGGGGCCAGACCAGCTCCGCAAACGTGAATTTTTGTCTCACCCGAGTCCTATTGGACACCCTCATCGACAATGATGGTGCCCCTATTACGGTGGCTTCCCTCTTTTCCCGGCTCTATCGTAATGCGTCACAGAACCAGGTGGGAGCATGTCCTGTTCACATACCGAGATGTGGTCATCCAAGCATAACTTTGAAGCCCTTGACTCGTCTTTTCCGCCCAAGCTTCCACTCTCGCTGTTCCGAGCGCATTCTTCTCTCGATAGAAGTCAATGATAACGCAAATGAGCGCGATGTCAAGGCCTGGGAGGCCTGGCTGCTCAGAGGAATCCCTAATGACGTGCTGAGCATTGATATTAAAGTGGAAGGATCTTTCCACAGCCACTCGACCGTCGTGTTATTAACTGTGCCAATAGAAGTGTGGACCATGCTCACGGATCATCCGGGATACAAGTTTATTTCCCTCGTTACCTCCAATAATGGGCTTTTGAAGGAGGAGCTACCCCATCGTCCTGCTCAATCCCGAGGCGAGAATGAGCCACCGTCTCCAAGAAAGCCAGTCAGGTGAGGGATTGGGCCAGTACAGCCATGAGGACTCGGGGAGCCTGCTACGTCTCTCGTCGTACTATTGGTATCTGTTCGCTTCGGCACCTTCGGGACATAGATGTCCTTTTTACCGTGTTGCTTACTTAGTTATGAGCTAATAGGAATTGCATTGATAATCAGATGGGCTCTGCAAGCTCTTTGCGTATTCTCGTGATTTTGAAATGTATTTGCCGTCGTACCTGCAAAAGATTTGGGCATTCGTTTCGTGCTGCAATTCTTATGCCCTAGTGCTATACTGGAATGATAGGAGTGGCCTTCAGGCGCGGAATAAAGCATGGCTGCTGGGACGGTCAGTTCCCGTGAAAGTAGGGTCTCGACCGTATTAGGAAAAGTAGAGATAAAAGGCCATGGTCGAAAGATGGCAACCAGTGTTTTTGGGGGGGGGGGGCGGTTCACTCGATTTTTTTTCTTTGAGGATATCTACGCGTATCAAATTAGGGAGTTGTCTTCGAAGCCCGACAAGAAATAAGCCAACTAAAGCTTTCTGGCGAAATTCCCGATACACGCTACAGTGTCGAAGGGTTTCCTGATAATCAAGGCCTGCCTTTACCCACAGCGTCGACGGAAGGATACAACCTTGACGAAGATGTCTCATTGATGGACGCGTCAATTTGCGGAATATCCCCTAAAAATAATGTTATCGAATGCTTGTTGGAGTTGCGAATAGTGAGAAGTCGGCTTGTTGAGTATTTGTGATCCTGCGAGTGAAAATGTTGGAGTGAAGTGCGCATGGATTCAGGCTAAGATACTGTGGCCTTTACAGCCCAGGGGCCTGAGCTACACCCAATACAGACCAGCGCTTAAGGATATATTACTTCTATTAAGAACATCTTAGGTATCTTTTCATCTGCTTCCAGTGGCTAGCGATATTTCACTTAATTCGAGAGAGTTTCAGACGCTACTTCGAGTGCCGTCAATCCACATAATTCCGATTCCATTCAAGTACATGAACTACAGCTTGAGGCTTCATGAACACTAAACCTCCGAATTTATTAGACCATATTGTGACGCCAAGCTTAGCTATTGAATAGGTCATGACTAGTGAATAGCGACGTTCTTTCACCTTGGAAAATTATTGAATGTCTTGATGATAGGGAATATACTACTTCACCATGCCATTGATTGTCCTTATATATCTGTCTCTATATCTTCCCTTCAAATAAGACCCTTCCATCTTCCCTACAATCACTTATTCCTATTATGAAAAGAGTGTGTCTGAGTCAGACGTATCTCTCCGCTGCTCTCAGTAGCCACGACATATTGTTTTGGTCTACTTAGTAGCGCATTGACAAACTCTTATAGTTCTTCCATTATACCTCGAACTTCGGGTGTTGAACGACTAGACTCAAACCTGATTGAGCGACGAAAGTCCTAGAGGAACGACCAAGCATCGCCTAGGCGATGAAGGGTTTTTTCTGTCAGGAGGGCATCTCATTGATGAAGGCCTTAACGACGCCGAAGCCTTACGGGAGAGAATGTACACCCACCATGGGCTAAACCGGGCCTGTACAATCGTGGTTGACTAAAACCAAACGGACACAGTCTGAAAAACCTAGCGATGAACCTTCAGACAGGCGTCAACAATCCGCTTGCCTCCGATGATGATTACGAATAATACTGAGATTCTTGCAATACTCCAGAAAATAGATGGAGACAGTATTGCAGGCTCAAAGACAGAGCTGCTAGGCTTCCTCAATTGAATCTACGGGTATAATTGCCAAGAACTCGTTATACTCTCGCAAACACGGGGAGGGGATCAGAATAAGGAGGTTGAACACTGATCGCTTGCCCATGCTTCGCTTTATGCCCGTCTCTATTGAAACGCGTCCAAAAATCAAATGCCAGTATCCTTGATGCATTCTTCTTGACGCGATCACCCAAGCATCATGTGAAGCCATTTCAAGAGCAGTAATTTACTCTCAAACCCTCCTTTGTTTTCTTAAACAGGTTCTTCTATCCATTGAAATGAAGGACAATCTCAAGCAACGGGGCGTCAAGGCCTGGGAGACCTGGTTACCAGGGAGTTTTGACAAGGAGGAGAAAGGCAGTTATAATAAGCGAAAGGAGAAGAAGCTGCATGACGACTGCTTCGTGCCAATTGACCCCGCTGCATCCGCCCTGTTTTATATGGCAGTTTCCTCGATGACGTGTTGAGTGTTGAAATCAGAGTAGAGGGGTTTTTCCACAGTCACTCGACGGTCGTGTTGTTAACAGTGCCCATAGAGGTATGAGCTATGCACCCTGAGTATCCAGGATACAAGTTCGTTTCCCTCGTCACCTCAAATAACGGACTCTTGAAGAATGAGGAGCTACCCTCATCGTCCAGCTCAATCCCGCGGCGAGAATCAATCCCTATCGCCAAGAAAGCCTATTAAATAAGGGATGGGACCGGCTACAGTCATAAGGCCTTGGGGAGCTTGCTACGTCGTTATTAGTTCTTCGGATACTCGTTCGCTTTGACATCTTAGGACGTAGAAGCTGTTTGCATGATGTCGTTTACCGAGCTTCCAGCTAATAGGAATTGCGTTCTTGACAAGGGTCAGATGGGCTTTACAAGCTCTTAGCGTATCCTCGTGACTTCAGGAAATGTATCTGCCGTCCCTGCAAGGGAATTTGACATTCGTTTCATGCTGCAATTCCTATGCCCTAGCGCTAGTGAAAGTAAAATCTTCGACTGTAGGAAAAGTAAAGGTAAAAGTCTTGCGAAGATTCTGTTATATCCTCGCAAACATGTGGAGGGGATCACAATGAAGAGGTGAACACTGGTTGCTTGCCCATGCTTCGCTTTATGCCTGTCACTAATTTTCTTAGGGCCACTTCCTGAGCTACTACTGTGGTATTACCGTACCAATTTAAATCACCTTAGATACTTCTGAATATAATCCTAGAATATAGGCTACCACACGGCCTACTACCGAGGCTGCCATAGGAGCCAAAGAAGAGAGTGTGAGTATGATGCGGACAGAAAGTTAACAATATGCGGGTAGAAGGGACCAGTTATACTACCTACTGATCGCGGGGATTTTAAAGTTTACTATCTATGATCTTCTATAATACTAAATGTTAATAAAAGTAAACTTCTTGTAATATAAAATTACTTACCATCCGAGCGTCTGACGGCACCCAACTATATTCTCAATACATGTTCACCGATGTCTCTAGCGGCTTCTTGGAAGCTGCTCGGAAACGCTTTGCACAGAGAACGTCAATTGAATATTCAGTGCTTGATATCACGCGAGACCCGTTGAGTCAGGGATTTGAGCCCCGAAAGCTATGATCTTATTGTTGCAGCAAATGTGAGTACCTAGCGTGGTGTGCGGCCCAGCAACTCATGATATACATATCTAACATAGTCAGTTTATTCACGCAACGCCCTCCCTCCACGATAGTCTGGCACGCATAAAGAAGCTGCTGGCTTCGGGCGGCCGCCTCTTACTCCAAGAGACATGCGGCGGTGAGTGAACCGGTTTGTATAAGTATTGGCAGTGGGATGATTGACTCTGTCACATATCTGGCAGACTCCATGTTGTCTGAATATATGATGGTGAGGCTGGACAACACTCAGTTTCTCCCTTCAACCCCGATTATACGATCAATGATTCTTATATAACGGCTGCTAACGCCCCCAGTAGGGCTTCTTACCTGGATGGTGGGTTGGAGAGAATGATCAACGTGTCGAGAAGCCATACGTAAATGTTGATCGATGGCGGAAGGAGCTACTGGACATAGAACTTTCTGGCCTGGCCTTCACCACGCATCAGTTCAACGAGTCTTTGTCAACATGGTGTCTAATCGGCCTATCCTCCAGCTGCACCGGATAAGATTACGCTGCTTGTTTCGGAGCATGAGAGTGGAGCTGCTACGGAGGTGTCGAGACAGTTCCGCTCTCATGGGAACATTGTCGAGCTATGTGGATTGTATAACCCGCCACCTAATTCTCGGTTTGTGATCGTCCTCTTAGATGTGGTCTCCCCTCTACTCTAAAACTTGGATGAAGAAGGCTTTCAGCAGCTCAAAGACTTTATACTAGGACTCAGCAACCACCATGTAATTTGGGTCACCAGAAGCACTCAAGTCAGCTGTCAAGATCCTCGCTACGGACTGACACATGGTTTTCTACGTTCAGTATGACAGGAATACGCGAATATTCCCGAGCTTTGTATATCCACCCTCGAAGGTAATCAACCGGATGATGAAGCAATACAAAATCTGGTGTCACTGCAGTCCCACATTCACAAACATGAGACGTGCCATAGATCCTGGCAGAGGTAGGGAGTATGGCTTGGTCAAAGGTGTTATACATACAGTCAGCCTTCAGTCCGTTCGGGCTACACAGGAACTCACCAAGCCGATCGACAACAAACTCCCGAAGAAGCTCTCTCTAGAATGTTTTGGTCTGGAAAGAGCATAGACACAGTCTTCTTGGAGATGATGAGGTTGAAATCGACGTCCGATGTGTGGTTTTGAACTTTAGGGTATGCTCACTATTACTTCATTACTAATTGAGTGGTCTGAGCTCACACTCATGCACAGGATATTGCTATCTCATATGGCCTTTTCGGATATACTAAGGACCTGGGCTACGAGGGCAGTGGGGTTGTACGTGCTGTTGGGTCAAAGGTTTTGCACCTGCGACCAGGAGACAGGGTGATGTTCGGTCACCCGTAGCCTATGCACTCGACGAACAATGCCGGCCAACTTCGCCAATAAGATCCCAGATACTTGGTCGTTTGAGGAATCTGCAGGTCTCATGATATTTTATGCCACGGTTATCTGGTGTTTTGATGTTGTTGGAGAACTCCGCAAGGGTCAGGTTAGTGCACGTGAAGTTGAGGCTGTCTTTGTAGGACAAGATGGTCGTTGCTGACCATCTGTAGACGGTGCTGGTTCATTCAGCCTTTGGTGGAGTGGGACTGGCTGCAATTCAGTTCTGTGAAATGAGAGGAGCTCAGGTATGTCTCATGGTTACTTTGCCCATGGAGAATGGAGATGCTAATATGGTCTTTTCCGGTTGCAGGTTTACGCTACTGTGGGCAGCGAAGAGAAGGTGCGGTATCTTGTTAATGGGTGCCATATTCCTCGCTCCCGTATATTCTACTCTCGAGATACGTCCTTTTACCGTGACCTTATGCGGGAGACCAATAATAGAGGAGTCGACATAGTTTTGAGCTCTCTTCCAGGCAAGCTCCTGCATGCCCCATGGAAGTGTGTTGCTCCAGGAGGGAAAATGTTTGATATCGGAAAGAGGGACGTCCTGGGCCATTCCATCTTGCCCATGAACCCTTTCGACCAAGCACGATCGTCCTACACCAGACCTACTTCAAGTCATGCAAAGCAACCTTGAGCAAGGCAAGGGAGCCACGTCCGCGTATGACCCACCGGCAGTCGTATCATTGCATGTCCCATTCTAAATTAGATTGTTTCCAGAACCGAAATAGTTGAGCCATATGCAGACTTCCTCGGCCGCGAAGTCGTACATACAAGTCGCATCATTTGCTTTGACGCTGCAGATGCCCCCAGCGCATTCCGCTATATGCAAAGTGGCAACCATATTGGGAAGATTATAATTAGGAACCCTGAAGACCCTGCAGACCTGCCTACCGCCACAAGTCTCGCAACCCCCGAGTTCTCTTCAGAGAAAGCTTATCTATTATCTGGTGGCCTCGGAGGGTTGTATTCGCATACAGAAAGACGGAAGGTTGTAGGATATGCCTGACAAAGCCTCACTGAAGGAGTTTTGATCGAGAAGAGGGCAACTGGAGAAATATTCCGCGCTCACTTATAAGAGAGCACAAATTTAAGAGGCTGGGGAGTATGCGCCCTGTCTGGTGTTCTCACTGCCCCGGAGAACTTCAATTGATACTCTCACTGCATCTCTGCTCGCTTTGTCTCTGGTCCGCTTGTTAGATTAATAGCGAGAGAAACCCTGCTTTAAGCAATAGACATTGAAGCCTAGTTACGATTTGGGGGGGGGGGAGAAATGTGTTTGTGTATGAGACCGGGGAAGATCTGTGCGATCAGTTCATGTCATTTGTTGAGATGCCACAGACAGTATATTAGTAGATCGGCATGATGTGAGGTAGAAATATGATTATCTCCTGAGCACAGAAGTAGTGCTGTTGTTGTTGTGATGGTTTGCTCTCTAAGCAGACAAAAGAGAGAGCCCCTCCGGGTGCAAACCAAACAAACAACCGCCGCCAGACCGTCTCGAAGCTCCGTCGAAAATTCCCAGAACAGCTACAGGACAGCGTCGTGGCAGTGTCCCCCATCTTTACTTTTCTTAATTCTTCCCGGAACTTCAGTGGAAGAATTTTGTCATCATGTCGTTGTCTATGCCTGGTCCCTCCCAGGCTGGTCTCTTCAAGCCTGGGTATCAGAGGTGAGCGAAGCAAAACCCCCCCGTCGTGGTGGAATGTCCCGCCCCTCAGGACCCTCGAGCATGGCGGGAGTTTCATATCAGGCACCGCCAATCCCCTGGCAATCCGGCGATGATTCGAATCATTGACTAACATCCTGTTCTTCATAGTCATGATGCCGAAGACGGTGCGGTTATCCGCAACATCGAAGCCTGCCAGGCTATCGCTCAGACCGTGCTCACGTCGCTGGGCCCGTACGGTCGTAACAAGATCGTGATTAACCACCTGCAGAAGATGATCCTCACTTCCGATGCCGCTACAATTCTGCGCGAGTTGGATGTTGTGCACCCCGCTGCCAAGTTGCTCGTGATGGCCAGTCAACAGCAGGATGCGGAGATGGGTGACGGTACCAACATGGTCATCATCTTGGCGGGAGAGTTGCTGAAGAAGGCCGAGGAATTGTTGCGGATGGGTTTGAAGACAAGTGATATCACGCAGGGTTATGAGAAGGCTCAGAACTTCGCTCTTCAGGTGCTGGAAGGTGGGTAGTTCTCGGGTTATGCGTTCTATACTACGTTCAGGGGCTACCGGTCCATTGGCTATCCTGATTGCATCTCCCGCACTCGCTAACGTTTGGATTCATCTCTAGGCCTCGAGGTTGATCGCCTGCAGGATCTTCGTTCTCAGACCGAATTGAGTAAGGCTCTCCGTACCGTTGTCGCCAGCAAGCAGTCCGGAACCGAAGACATCCTGGCCTCCTTGGTTGCCGAGGCCGTCCTCGCCGTCTTGCCCAAGAATCCCGTCAACTTTAACGTCGATAACGTCCGCGTTGTGAAGATCATGGGTGGTAGCTTGGAACAGTCCCGTGTTGTCAAGGGTATGGTCCTTGGTCGTGAGCCCGATGGTGTGGTCAAGAAGGCACAGAAGGCCAAGGTCGGTGTCTTCAGCTGCCCCATCGACATCTCTCAGACCGAGACCAAGGGTACTGTGCTCCTGAAGAACGCGCAGGAGATGTTGGACTTCTCGAAGGGTGAGGAGGAGCGTCTGGAGGCGGCCATCAAGGAGCTGTATGACTCTGGCCTTCGTGTCCTTGTTTGCGGTTCCACGATCGGTGATCTCGCTATGCACTACCTGAACCGTTTCAACATCCTTGTCATCAAGATTTTGTCCAAGTTCGAGCTGCGCCGTCTCTGCCGCGTGGTCGGTGCTACTCCTCTCGCTCGTCTGGGTGCTCCTATGCCCGATGAGATGGGTTCTATCGACATCGTCGAGACCACTGAGATCGGTGGAGACCGTGTCACCGTTTTCCGTCAAGAAGATTCCAACGCTGTTACTCGCACATCTACCATCGTCCTGCGCGGTGCCACCCAGAACCACCTGGATGACGTCGAGCGTGCCATTGACGACGGTGTCAACGCCGTCAAGGCCATCACTAAGGACCCCCGTCTGGTTCCTGGCGCCGGTGCTACCGAGATTCAGCTTGTGGAGAAGATCTCTGCATTCGCCGATCGCACTCCCGGCTTGCCCCAGCACGCTATCCGCAAGTACGCTGAAGCTTTCGAGGTGATCCCTCGTACTCTGGCGGAGTCCGCTGGCTTGGACGCTACTGAGGTTCTCTCTCGTCTCTACACTGCCCACCACCACACGAGCGCCAACGGCGAATCGTCAGAGGAGTCGGAGGAAGAAGGCAGTTCCGAGGAGGAGCCTTACTGGACTACTGGTGTCGATCTGGAGGTAGGACCTTCTTCGACTGGTACTCTTGACACTGTGGATGAAGGTATTCTGGACTTGCTGGCATCGAAGAGCTGGGCCATTAGACTCGCGAGTGAGTCCGCCCGGACAGTCCTCAGTGTCGACCAGATCATTGTTGCTCGGCAGGCGGGTGGACCCAAGCCCCCGGGCCCCAACCCCAACTGGGATGAGGACTGAATTTGAGGCGTTGGAGAGCGGTATATTCAATGTGGTCTAAAACTCAAAATGTGATATAGACACGATAATCATGAACATCAACTAACCCGGCATGTCCGGGAGTGTATAATGCTTTGTGTGGTAGTATTGGTAGTAATATTGCTCATGTGGATCCTTTGGACCAATTAGGGTCAATCAGATTCGATCATGAATTGGCAGTAGATGATTGTAATTATGTGTAGATCTTCCCATAACAATGATCATCTTAGCAAGAGCGTATACTTTGTATAAGCAGCACTGATAGGCGGGCGGTCAGTACTATCACGTGATGTGACTGGATTTTCCGGGCCGACGCTCGACTTTCTTTTCCCGCAAAGGCCTTCTTCGAGCAATTCGATATCTTGAGCAGCTTCAATTCCTTGGTCACCCTCCCCTCACGGTCCTACGTCTCTCCCTGTTTCCGTTCCGTTCGCCCTCACCTCCCGTCCATCATGTCCGTTTCCGCCCAGGCCGCAGCTCGCTGCTGCAGACAGATCGTCCGCCCTACCGCCTCTCTGCGCCTTGCTCCCACGACATACCTGTCCCAGCGCACACTCAGCCGGAGATGGCAATCCACTGAGGCGGAGGCTGCTGCTGCTCCTGCCAACCCCAAGATCACCCAGATTGTCGACCAGATCAGCCAATTGACCCTGTTGGAGACCGCCGACCTCGTCTCCACCCTGAAGGTGCGTTGTTTTGCTCCCCCGGATCTGTGTCGCAAACTCCGCATCATGCCCATTTCAGGCTGTATCCCATCCAGCGTGGTGGACTGACACTCATCGAACTACATTGTACTCGCTACTGACATGAATGTTGTCATTCTAGACCCGCCTGAACATCCCCGACCTCCCCGTTGGCGGTTTCGCCATGGGCGCTGCTCCCGCCGCTCCCGCCGCTGCTGAGGAAGAGGAGGCTGCTCCCGCCCAGCAGGAGAAGACCCTGTTCAACCTGAAGCTCGAGTCCGTCGACGCCTCCTCCAAGGCCAAGGTCATCAAGGAGATCAAGACCCTCCTCGGCCTGTCCTTGGTCGACAGCAAGAAGTTCGTCGAGTCCGTTCCCAAGGTCCTGAAGGAGTCTGTGCCCAAGGAGGAGGCCGAGAAAATCGTGGAGACCCTCAAGGCCGTGGGCGCCAAGGCCACTATGGACTAAACTGGGACCTATATACTACTCTCTGCTTTCGGGGACTTTTTTCTTAATGCTACCGGGTCACCCTAAGCTTTCATCTTTCCACAACCCCTCCTCCGTTCTGAGCGGATGAGCGGAGGGGGGGGAAGGGAAGAGGGAGAGGCTACCTGTGGATGGTCTGGACGTTGTGATTGGACTGCATCTCATCATGCTGGAGTTTTGTCTCGCACCACCCTTTTTTACCTCTATTCCGTCATGTATTGTCTGTGTGTTTTTATCCTATCTCTTTTCTTTTCTCCGTCATATATCTCTTAAGACTGTTCTGATATAAACCGGAAAGCGGGAAAAAGGCGGCGAGTGTACATTATTATCGCATTGAATGGACAATGTTGAAACAAGCTGGATGCATGGACTGGCCTAGAGGCGGCACCAGAAACGTCATGGACCCTGGTAGTAGATATACATTAGGACGGTCGGTCTTCGGAGAGAGCTCACCACCTCTCATGTTCCGTAGCTCTATTTTATTTTATTTTTTATCTTTTTTCTTTTTTCATACAACCCCAAGACTCATACATCTCGAGCCATATCATATAATTAAGTTGTTACAACCATCGTACCGATTGCAGTAAACCCATGAACCGACGGGCCAGGAACGAACCATGAGAATTTCCCTTGCGGAGACACGGCGGCGCGCCCGACTTTGGTTCCGCCCGGCGAAAACTATACTTACTGTCAACCAACAACTTCGCCTTTATTCCAGCGTGACTTGCACCTAGTTCTATATTGTCATTTCTCTTTCTTATTCTAGCAGAGAAGAGAAGTGCGCTTGTGTTTTCATTGTGATTATTGTCATTTCTAGATTTAGTGTGCTGCTCTGTTACTGTCTTTTTAGTACTTCGAGTTCGAATGATGTACTAAACTTCAATGGGTCACTTATAGTACTTATATATTTGAACCTCCTAACGACAGAGTTAGTACTACTTATGGTTAAACGTCCAAACACTACAGGAGTACTAAGTACAGTAGTACTTATGACCGTTAGTAAGTACTATCATTACTGCCAATATTTACAACTTGATACTTATTAACACTACTAGTAGGCATGGCGTACAAAGAGCGTGACAATTACCACTGAAATTACATGGTGTTGCTGTTATTTGATCAAATTTTGTTGCCTTACTACCAATTCAGATGATAGTTTTCCATTATACAGTAGTACAGATTCAGATTCCAGTTAACCACAATTCATCAGTGGGGAAGTGATGGGGCATATGCAACAATAGGACATCTTTTTATATACTAGTACTATGTATAGACCTTTGTCTCTTTGCAGCAATGACTGGTGACATGTATAGTTTCCTGTCTATTCCTTGCATCAACATAAATATCAACTAACAGCCTGCATCTCTTTCACCTGAGTGCCCTATCCAAACTCCATATCTCATCAATATAACCTAGTAACAGTATCATATATATCCTTTCATAGCCATCTTTCCAGAAGCCAGATTCGAGCGAAGATATCAATGAAGAAAAAAAGAATCATGATCTGCAAGCGGGCGAGGGAGAGAGAGAAGCACTGGAGGAGGGAAGACAAGAAAAGAAAGGACATGAAGCAGATCAAATCAATTCGTAAAAACCCCGACCAGCGCTGCGTTCACTCATTCATCTGTACCATATCCATTCTCGCTGTCGAGTCACCTTCGTCGACCCTTGCCTTTCCCCTTTCCCCTGGTTTTGAGTTCGACGAATCCTAATTCCTTAAGACCCTCTGTGAGACGTGATGAGTCTCGCATCCCGGGGAAGTCTTTGGCAGGGTAGACGTGAAACGGATCGGACCATACTTCAGCAAGGACGGGCATCGACTGACCCGTGTCCTCAACAAGGCCCCAATTCATAAGCCGGAACTGTAAGCGGTACAGTCCAGCTGTACGTACGGAGAGATCAGAGAATATGAAGAATGCTGCGGGCTGTTGGGCTCCCTTAGAGGTTGGTGGAGCAAGTTGGACTCTGCGTTCCGGTAGGTGATAATCAAATGTTGACGGATGATTTGGGGCACTTGTTGGATCAGGATCTTCATCGACAAAGAAAGGCGAGACAAATGCTTTGCCCGAAAGCAATGGTGTAGATTGGCCGGGAGTAGCTCCGAGACGGTCTTCTCGAAGGGCACTATCACCATCCATGTCGGACGAAATCGATCCTCGCGTTTCAGGAACCAGGAAGCAGCCAACGGTAAAGCGCGGATCTTGGAGGATATCGATATCATCTGATGTGCTGGGGTCAAAGTCCGTTAATAGCAGCTGCAGAATTGGAGGTGGGTCTACAGGGCGGCGGTCTCGGTCTCCGGCACCACAAGCCCGGGCTGCGAGGGGCTGTTGTCGAATGAAGAGGTGATAGCGTGACGTCGTGGAGGTTCTTCGTGGCGGAGGTGATGGAGTTGGAGAATGGTGAAGCAACCTTTCAAACCCAGAAGGCATGCTGGATGTGGTGTGTCGCTGATGCTGTTGTGCCTGGGGTTTTATGGGTGGTGCGAGCGCAGGATACATTGCTGAGCTCTCCTCAGAGTGAACGGGGCTTGGAAAGGTCGCCGAGCTGCTACTGTACCTGTATACATCCTATTAGCACAATGATTCTCAAGGGAGTTACGAAGCACCACAGCTCGAGGCGAAACAGCGGGAGTATGCACATTTGACCAAGATCATGGTATCATAACTCCAGGCAGATAAGACTAAGGCCTCTTTTTTGAAGAAAGAAAGGGGTTTATACTGAGACTCCACATCATTTGTCCGCGTCCCGGAAATAGAACCAATAGAACCGCGACTGTAACTGGGGGAATCCTGATAAGGACTAGAGACAGAGGTTGAAGCGGAGGCATACTCCGCGCCTCTCATGGCATTTGACCTTTGGGCCCCATACTGAGGAAAGACACTATGATTGGCGACCGGTACTGGCGAAGGTTTAAATTTGGGGTCTGCGAGGCTGTCCCAAGTTCTGCCGTGATAGGGAGCCCTGGAGTTTGATGAGGGATGCATATAAGTCGGAGCGTAGCCCTGATTGTCAGGATAGAGGAAGCGTGGGGGATCTTCCAGAGTATGGAATCGGTTTGGCATCGTCAACATCTGGTGATCGTCACCAGCGGCGTAGGATCTTGCATCCGACGGTTGACCACTGGATGCGGGATACATCCATTGCGGTAGCGGGGTTCGAGACATCTATGCAATGTGGGCGGACGTTTGGGGGTCCGTACAATTATTTCTTTCTTCTAGGACCTGCTCTCGCTGTAAAGTGCCAAAAGCTGATCTCCCGTTGTGTTCGCGGGCTAGGCATCCACAATAGGGAACGCCAAAATGGTCAAGCAAGGTTTGATCAACTTAGAAGAAAAGGTGGAATGAGGCCCGATATGGGGAGAACAATCGACAGGGGTCAGAAGCCCGCTGGGACAAATTGGCCATGTACTACGTAACGGTATACCCAGCGCCAAAGATTTTCCAGAGCTCACAGGTTAACTGTGTGCGGTAGGTTTTTAGATGCTTCCTTTAAGGCCAAAGGTGCAAATAAGATGACCTGACGTGGGCGGTTGTTCCAACCTACCGAAGTAGCTGGCTGAGGTGATATGCATATGTTAGCTCTCTTTGATGATTTTCAGAGGCAGACCACAAAGCAATTGTCTGAGGAGGGTCCCGAAGCACGGAAAAAGGTAGTCAAGACGAAGGAGGAAAAAGAAAAGGGGACTGCCCACCTCTGCCCAACCAAATCGTAGCACGACTCACACCGGCGCGCAAGTAGCGGCAAGGCAAGCAACTGGAGTACTGACCTTGTAGAAACGTGAAGTAAGCGTGTCTGATGACCAACCCAGAAGGAGGAAGAATGGCCAGGAGCGTGGTACTAACCCTAAGCCAAGCAGTAAAATACCAAGTGTTTATTGGCACTCTATAGTTGCCTGTGGCCGTGCAAGAAAAGAAATGGATCTGGGGAAACGGGTTGGTCGATGCTTTTGTGAGAGCCTGTGCGTGCCCACTGCGTATGTGTGTGGCATTGTGAAAAATTCAGACATGCAGCAACACTGCGTCCCTGACAGGATCCGGCCGTGTATATCCCCGAATCTTAGGAATCTTTATTCCATCATGAGTGTTTCTCCGATATCCCAATTTTCCCGTACTTAACAAAAGAAGCGTAGGTTTTGCTAGTGCCCAGTGTGTTGGTCTGTACACTGTCCGGAACTCTGCGCGACCATCGCAATTACTAGTAAGGTTCCAGTAGACGAGCCACTTCTGTTATGGGTCCCTTTGGGTTCTGCAGACGATGCAGTATGACGGCCCTGCGGAAAATCATTGGCCAAAGCATTAAAAGACTGACCCTGGTATGCCGTGGGCATCTCGTATTCGTCGAAGTGGTAAGCAGTATCTTAAGGAGGGACTATCTTCCTTGCGATGGCCAATAACGGAATAGGATCCCGTATATGCAACGAATCGCTTGCTAAGTGCCTAGTCAAAGGCGTGAACTGTGTTTACCGAGGCGCCCAATTATTACCCACTTCCCGGGGAACTAGGGCGATCTGCTGCCGAAGGATTTAATTTTTAAATGCGCGATGATCTGGAAGCCCAGCAGGAACCATCGGGTGAGATGTTCGACTCCGTGAGCCAGGTTCCAACGAGTGAGCAGCGACAAGCCAGGAAAGAACAGGGAATAAAGTGCAGATCGAGTATAATCGACCAGTTGATTGGCAAGAATATAACTCCATGTACGCCGTAAGCCGTGCATTTCAGATTGCTGGGATCGCTATCCGTGGTCGCTATCATCGTTACAAACTCTGCAGCCCGTCCACGCAATGCAACTAGATAGGCCACCAGCAGCTGATCGGTGCAAGGAATAAATGGTCTATACTGATGATTTGCGAGCCTCGGCGTTCCCGGCACAAACCTGTCCTGCAGCTCGGAAAGGAAGTAGGAAAAAGGAAGATGGTGCTGCAAGATTCGTAGAGAAACGGCTAGAAGACTGTATAGTGGAGTCCAGATCTGGACGCTCACCGTTGTTTTTGAACTATCGACCATATACAGAGCACTATTCCTGGAAGGGTGTGTTGATAGATGTCGCCCATGAACCCCCGGGACAATTATTGAGCTTGGGACAAGGGCCATTGACCGCAAAAGCCGGACACGGCCGTCGGGGATCTTTCCGTACGCTAGGCGAATACGGCTGTTCAGCTGCTTAGTGTCGGGACTGCGAACTCCATCCGACAAGTTCAGGTTACTTTTGCGCCCACGTCTTTAGCATGAAACCAGGGCCCTGCATACTGAGCTTGTTGCATGCCTAAGCCAGGAGCACCTTTAAGAGAGCAAACATGGACGAATATGGAGTATGGTGGTGGCCGTGTCCAGCCCCGTTCTCCCAGGCCCGCGAGTATTGCCGATTTGTCATTGCTGGTCGTGGATACCGGGGTCTTTTGCACGGGCCGTTTCGAATCTAAAACTATTTTATAGTGAGCTTTTCTCCGCAACAACCATGGAATTCGCTGATCGTTACTGGTCCAGAAGAACACCGGACCACAAAAGATAAAACAAGCGGGCCAATTGGTCAGATAGTTCGCAATAACGGAACTACAGAAGAGGAAAGAAGAAGAAGGGAGATGAGCTGGCTTACTTCTGGTGGGGACCTCATAAACCACTTCCATTTCTGATCTCAGTGAGGCCCGAGAAAGCCGTTGGGTGCGCTCCGTATTTCCTGTAGTGAGATCCTGGGACACACTCACTCACACATTGTGGCTAAGGTACAAGGTATGATGCCTATCCTTGCAATGGAAGATCGATCGGTGGTCACCGCCACATATTACACTGGATGTTTCATCTCAGCTGATTTGTGTTATCGTAACCCCCTCTGGTGCTGCGGGGAAGTCATCCTAGTCGGCGAGAGAAGTACTTTTCGTGCATTAGCCCTGTAACAACTGTTCACCATTTCCTCTTGGGTGGTCGGGCTACTGTATGTGTGGTTGCCTTGCCGACAACCATGAATGATGTGTCACATCCTTGACTGTTGGCTGACTTGATCGATGGCCAGAATTGGCTGGATGCTGATGAGTCAACAACCACCGTCAGACAGATGGAACTATTACCGAGTACCGACACGCCTATGCAGCGTTCTAATTCCCGGAATCCGGGTGTGCCTCATGCACACTAAGGGTATCCAGTGTCCACACCTTTTTGTGTTCCTACCCAGGCAGTAATGGGTCTGGCCTTTTGGAATCCCGGAAGCTGCAATTGCAGTGCAGTGGCTAGTGTGTAGATTGGGTGCTACGGCGATGATCCTGTTCGTGCGTCATGACCGTCCACAGATAGTGCATAATCGTGAGCTTCTTGCTTATTCCCAGGAGTTTCCCCCGGGGGAGAATATCCTCCACTCTGTTTTTTTTTCCCATCGCCGATATGGATATTCTCTTAGTTGGAACAAATGGAGACATGGACCGGACGCTGAGGTCGGATGCCAATTAACGCTGCGCGTTGCCAGCCACACTTCATTTGCCTGTAGAAGGCAACTAGGACGGAGAACCCGTGTAGGAAGCGAGCCACGGAGATACTCCTTGAGTAAACTATCGCCAGAGGCAACCAAAGAAAAAGATTTGTCAGGAACCGAAGGTATTATTCGACCAGCAGTCTGCACGCATGCGGTTCATTTCAAGGGAAGGCTGGAACTGAGTGACTTACGGGGAAAGAAGGCGTTACTCCGATTGGGCCCTGGGAAAAGTCCGTGGGAATCGGAGATCTCCAGTTTGCAAGAGAGCGGAGGAGTTGCTGCGATCTCGTTGACCTGTCGATTGCCGCATTACGAAAAGGAAGGGGGGATCAAGTGACTTGGCCCAACGTTCGCCTTCCGCTGCCGTATAGCAGCTTTGCTCCCGGCAACCCAACCGCAATAGTTCTCCTCCGGCCAGCTCAAGCTTCCCTTCACCATCCCCACGCATCTTAATTAGCCACCCGCCAATCCTACTAAAAGCCGCTCCATATGGAATGGTACTGTGTCTACGGATATGACAAATCATGATACATGAAGAGGAAATAACACAAGGCAAGTTGATACCAATAGAGTGGGGGAATGCGGCCACTAAATCTTAGACAAACCTTACCTATAGACATCCTACCTAACTAACTAACAAGTATTTGCCCTCCGGTCTCACCGGATGATTTGAGTGCCCAAGGTTCTGGCCGAAGTACGGGCCGCCCGCCTCGCGTCGAGACAGCCTTTGGGCTCTACACGCCAGCGACACTTTGGGTTCTGGAAATCTCCCTGGACGGCTCATGCAAGAATGCCTTCGTTATGGACCACAGCATACAATCTGGAAGATCAAGAATATGGATCGATGCTTTATGTCTTCGTTGGGGCCGTTTCTTGGAGAAAAAGCAAAAGAGCACACCGAATCCTGGACGCATCAGCTCCCCTGCTAGGGCGACGTGGAAGCCTCGATCGCGAACTAATGGCGCAACCCTGCAGGAAAAGAAGATCTTCGAAATCTTACGGGTCGATGGATTATCGACCTTCCTATTTAGTCTAATAATCTGCGTCGACAAAGGGCTGCTGCGAGCAAGGGAGCCAGGATACCCTGACTCTCAAAGCTGACAAGCTTGCCTTGGCTTTCAGTCGTCCGCACTGACCTTGCACCTGAACTTAGGATATCCTGGCTGTCTCTTCGTTTTATCTTGCGGTGCCCTGCGTGTACTCTTAGCGCGGGCCACAGCAACTTGCACACCTGAAACTACTCCGAACAGAAAGGATAATCCTTGTCTAGGAGGCGTTTGTATTGTACGTACGCGTTGAATCAAATTGGCAATCCGTACACACACGGAAGATGTCTTCATATAATCAATTGTCTCAGAATAATACCCAAACCTATTTTTGAACATGTAAGTCAACCGCTACCAATTCAACTTACAGATGTAGACGTGACAGCCGGAGACCGCTAGAAATCCTATTGTATTGATAGGGCGCTAGAGAAGGTAGCAATGCCACCAGAGACTCTTTGGAATCATTGACCAGATTGTGCTGCAGGCTACCCAAACGGTGAAGAGTAAACTTATGTTGTGCGAAAAGCATATCAGCAATCGGTATTCTACCAGCCTGCTTCGTGTCCTAAGGGTTTGCTCACCTAAACCGTCATTGTGGTAACACGGAAAACTGACGTAATATGAGACAGGAAGTTGCAAGGGGCTTCAGCTCACCTGCCAGATAATGTTATCTGACATTGAGCAGGCGGTAGAGCACACGATCAAACCATGGGACCATGTCTCGCCCATTGTCCACTTGAATGGTATTGACGTGGCTTAACTTAACATGAAGCCGTGCTCTCGGACTTGGCCGACAGCATGGTTCTTTGCTGGTGAAAGTGCATCACGTTCTGGCTCTCCGTTATAACAGTATGTAGCCTTAGAAGATGCGAGTTGCATTGCATAGTCTCTGCCACAGAGGTTGAGAGATTGTGGTCATGCGAGATGAGGACTGCTAAGGATGATGCTGGCTTCCCCAGATTCTTAGCTGGTTGAGCATAACCTTCTGCTATGTTAGGAAGAGAGTGTATCACGAATCGCTGTGGCTATGCTGAACATGCCTGCCAAGCTGCATACACAGACTATGCAAGAGATGCTGTTAGCATGCAAGTTTGATAGCAACTTCCCATAGCAAAATATAGCATTAGCTTCCGAGCATAGGGGGAAATAAGGCCCTAATGCGGACACACTTTGCGAGATGCAATATCCGACAGAGCAAATATGAGCTTCTTCCAGGAAAGTCTTCGATGGTAATTGCCGGAAAAGCATCGTAGCAGAAAGAGGCTATTTGTGCTGAGCAAGTACTTCGAGCTCAATGCTTATGTACACCAGTGACCAAAAAGAGAAGCAATTATAGCATGAGGTCCGGACTTAGATCTTCCTCGATGTAATAATGCATAGACGCATTTCCAATAAAAGATATCAGATCACCCTGAGAAGTTGGCGCCGTATCACCATGAAGAAAGACTGTGGTGATCGCCTCAATACCAGATCGCGCTCGTGCAGCTCGTGACTCTATGCGACTCTCAATAGGCTCGTCGCTTGGTCCAACGTATACAGCGATGAGCTGGCCATAGACACGATCCCACGCAATCATATGCTCGGTCTCTTCCCAAGGAATATCATAGCTTGGATCCTGATCATGTGGACATCTGGCTCTCCTTGCCAAGCGACCAAGCTGCATCACATGAATGGAGCGCTCGAGAGGGGATCCACTGCTATCGCAGCTGACACGGACTAAGCCTAACGTTGAAGGTGTCCATGGCTCAGTACCCTCTTTCCCAGCAGATGGAGAGGCCCCCGAACAGTGAACTGGAGAATATCGGGGAAACCAGGCATACTCCATATCCTGGCCTTCAGTTGATGGCAAAGATACAGGAATAACGTCTCCCTCGTGTTCTTCAAGCAGTTCTGCAATCTTGCCGAGATCTGTCGCTGACCTGGAGCATCCGGAGGCGTTGGTTTCGGTAATCAAGCGTGCAACGCTCTCATAGCCTGTGCTGTCACCATCGATATTAAAGAGAGGTATATCAGATATTATCGAGTGCGGATCACCTATATTCGTGTGATAGGGGCCTTCAGAATCCCAACTGAGACCCAGCTTGTGCTCGATCTGTATTAATTGGGCCTCAAGAAGCTTCAAGTACTCTTTCTCACCTGCCATCCGAGGTAACAGAGGACCAATAACTTCTGACTCAAGCAGCATGTTGACGTCTTTGAACTCGGAGATACCAGGAAGCATTTCCTGGGAGTTTTTCGACACTTCTTGCAAGTAATCCATAGCTCGGAGAACATCACCACTTTCCAACAGAGTCACTATACAAGAGTACATACATTGGTACATTTCAGGGGAAGCGCTTGGCGAAAGTCTCCACATTGCTTGCCTCCAGACTTCAGATAGAAGGTCTCTGCTCCGCAATTTCGCGAGTAAACAAAGATAATGCCCACGATGCATTGCTGGGCCGGCAGAATCGCCCCAGGACAGCAGATCGTGAAGGTTTCTCTTCCTTCGTTGCTTGTCTCCCTCAATCAATTCCAGTATCGCGTCCGTATCAATAGTAACCTCACGGAACCTCTTATAGTGAAGGGCATTGAGGAGCGCATTCACTATAGATTCACTTGCGAGGCTGTCCAGGGGCCACAGGCCAACGGAAAGGTACCCATCCAGAAACCTTTCAAGAGCCGGCGCAGACAATGAGAGTGCAGCATAGTACATCCCCAAAAAGTAGAGATTACTCGTACGCGGTAGTCTCATTTTCTCCAGTCTTGTGATGATAGCATTGAGCGCCGTGAGGATCTCGCCGTAGGAATTCTTTCGCTGGCAACGATTTAGCGCTTTCGCTAAAAGGGCGCAGGATTGTGTCTGTAAAAGTAGACTGCCCTCTGTTTCATTTACAGTTCTTTCAATGAATACCTGTAAGTGACGCAGGTTTCGTACGTCATGCTTCAGGGCTTTGAACGATGCGATTTCATCGGGGCTTTGTGGTTCTCGACCAGAAGAGCTCCAAAAAGGTGGTGGTAGAGACACCAAGGGCCAATCACCGAGAAATATATCCGAGAGGTGCTTGTCAAGCTCAGGATTGGAGACATCATTGTGAGAAGGTTTCGTGGTACCTGTCAGAGCGAACCTGACCAGGTGGGACGGAGTGGGCTCGGTATATGAAGCTCTCGAGTTGACGTCGATGGAGACATGGCGGCCCAGCGATGGTGGGATATGGAACGACCTCAATGCCCGCCACCGTGATAGCACACACAATCGAGAGTATAGTGACATAGATTTCGACTACTTCTAGGCATCAAGGACACAGACAACTGACACAGTGGAGGCGGTCTTCAATGGGCATGCCAGTGATAATCCGGGGTTGGGGAAGTGGAGATGGCAGCGGGTGGATAAAGCATAATAACGCCCGGCAATCCACCAGGGGCAAGGCGGTCAACATGGCGGTGTGCCATGGCGTAACTGCAACTCCGATCCGGAATCGAGGCTTCAGTCCTTTAGTCAGAAACCGACCTTCGTTTGCTTTTCGCTCATCAATATACTCGAGGTTCCTTATACCCGACTATTTTTTTTTTTACGAATTCACCCCAACAGACATTTCTTGGAGACTTACACACTCCTATCTGTTAGCAGCATGCCTGCCGAGCAGTCTGCGGCCAGCCCTTCTGGCGCCAAGGAAATGCCCAAGCAATCCGCAAAGAATGACCAAGCCGGCGATGATCGCAAGGAACCTACATCACCCTCAAAAGAGAAGGCACAGGGAGAATCAGGAGGAGAGGCTAGCGTAAATGACGCCAGTACGGACAAAAAAGACGATGATGCTGCCTCAAGAGCCCGTCAAAGACAAGAAAGATTCAAGGCTCTCCAAGCTCGCGCAGTAAGTTCATGGTAGTGAAGGGCCACTGTACGTTGTGTTCGTACTGACATCATTTCAGAAAACCGCTACTGAGCGGAATCTGAAAGAAACGGCTGCCGAAACACAGCGTCTCGCAACCGATCCGTCGCTGCTTTCTTCGCTCTCTCGCAAACATGCTTTCGCATCGCATAACCTTCTCAAGGCTGACACAGAAGCCGCTGGCGAGGATTTTGAGCGTAAGCGTGCCTGGGATTGGACTGTCGACGAGTCTGAAAAATGGGACAAGCGTATGGAAAAGAAGCAGCGTCATCGGGACAATGTCGCATTCCAGGACTACACCCAAGACGCGAAAAAAGTGTACAAGAGACAGCTGCGGGAAGTACAGCCTGACCTCGAAACCTACGAGAGGGAGAAGCTGGCAGCGATCGAAAAGGCTGCTGCCAATGGCGATCTCGAGATCGTTGAGACCAATGACGGTGAAATGATCGCCGTCGATAAGAATGGCTCTTTCTACTCTACTGCCGACAGTGTTGGCTTCACGGAGAACAAGCCCGACAGAGCAGCTGTTGACAAGCTCGTGGATAATCTTCGGAAAGCTGAGGAAGTCCGACTCAAGAAGCGGAGGGACCGCCGTGGAGACGACGACGGCGACGTCACTTACATCAACGAAAAGAACAAGCAGTTCAACCAAAAATTGTCGAGATTCTATAACAAGGTGCGTTCCTACTTTGTCAATTGTCAAAAGCCCTAGCTAATGCCTTCCAGTACACTACGGAAATTCGCGACAGCTTCGAGCGTGGTACGATGATCTGATTTACGCCAAGAAAATCTGAATCTGCAGGACAGTTCAAACGTACAGTCGTCTTGCAAAAAGACCTGCATGACAGCAACTTGATGTGTGCGCTTCGTCAATTTTCAAGTCTCTGCACCTCGTTCCGGACTATACTGGACAAATGCAAAGAAGGTCGCCGACGAACCTCCCCTTGCAGGGTCCGCCACCCTGCTTGACGAAGTTGGCATCCAGTTATCGCACATACGAGCCGCACCTATCTCAGTCACATCATCATCTTGACCGAGATACCAAGTTACTTGACGGTTTTAATGACAGGTGGTCCCTTGAAACACGAATTGGGCATGTTGGGTTATAGCCTCATTTATTATACATGATGTAGTGTACACTATGGCAGTTTCCAGAGAGATTTCCTGGACAGCTCGAGATGGCCTGGTCACAAAGCCACTCTGCTGATGCCATTATCTCAGAGCGGAATCAGATGATGACGTGCGCTCGATCGGGAATTTGACCTAAATTCACAGGCCTTCCATGGGTCTGGCCGGTAGATAGGTCTTCGCCTTGCTCACCTTGGACATATTCTCACTCCAGGCCCCAAGCAGCCAGTCTGACATGTTAGTTTGGCAATCAATTTCTCGTCTATGTGCTCCTCCCTCATAGCATGCTCTTCCTCCACGCTTTCGTAGCTAGCGCTTCTATCTTCTCTACTCCCAAGGCACCTTGGACAGATTCGTCATCCAGGGCTTCCATTACAGCCTCACCCACAGTATCCACGTGGAAGGGTTTCGTGACCATGGAGCCCAGGAAGTCCAGTCTGTTGCCCAAAAGCGCATTAACCTGAGAACCGACGAAGCCACCAAGAGCAATGGGGAGTGTGAACTTTCTGCTTTCATCGTACATAAACGGGGCTCGCACAAAGACACTCCGCAGTTCCGGTAACTTCGCCGCGATGATAGATTCCGCCTCTCTCTTCGTTGTGATATATCGACTTGGGAGAACCGGCGTGCCTGAAGCAGCAGATATGTAGAGGAAAGTCGGGACATGTTCGTTAAGGGTTTCTTGCGCCAATGCGACCGCTAAAATGAACGGTAATCAAGATGTTAGCAATCAATTCATTCAATCATAACCCGGCATCGCACGAACCAGAATCGCGATTCATAAGCTCATATGTAAACTGCCCATTACGCTCTTTCACTTGAAGAGGCTCTCCCTCCCGCCTTTGTAACGGATCCTGACTGCCTGGTTTTGACGCTGCAAATGCCTTTTGCAGCCCGCTAAGAATCGGTTCTCGTCCTTGCACCACCCCTTTATAGTCCGCCTCGAGGAGAATTCCCATACTATGGACGACGGCGTTCGCACCATTCAGAAAGGGTTTGTAGGTTTCCGGCTTGAGCATATCGGCCTTAGCCCATTCGACCGAGCTGGCCCAGCTTGGACGACTGAGAGAACCAGTAACGGTATCCCATCGCGGTTCTCCGGAGCGACTAATATCAGTGTGTATGGATTAGGCAGATTCCTTAAGATATCAAGATCAATAGCGTTCGTACCTGAGCGACGTAACCTCCCAGCCTCTAGCGACAGCCGATTTGCAAATCCTCGAACCTGTACGTGAAATAAGCTGTTAGCATTGATTGCTCAAGCGTCCGGCTGGTAGGTACATAGACTGCCTGCATCACATACCCAAGAAGCCGTTTCCGCCGGCGACAACCACCCTTTTTGCTGCCATTGTAGGATAAAATCAAGTAAACTCAGATTGAATGTATTTTGCTTTTGTGAGAATTAAAGGACTGAAGTCAACGAAACATTTTCATGAATTCCAAATCGCCGGAGCTCGAACCCGGAGGAAGCAACGACCGCCCGCCGCAGCTCAGCTTCCGCCGGATTCCTTATCGTATCACCCGCATCCGTCACGTGCAACTGCAGAGATTCCGCGGCCTGGATCGCGACAAGAGCGACACTGGAACTTCACACCTCCCTCTTAACCATCGATATATTCTTTTCTTGCCCGGTATCTGCATACCACCTGCCTATCTCAGATTGGTTATATTGTCAGACTTGCAGCATGCCATCCGCGACAGGAACCAAGCGCGTCAGAGTGAGTCCATCCCTCCCAGATCATACAAGACCAGGCCGATCGACTAACCTATCACACCTATAAAGGGCGTCTCTGTCTTCCGGCCGTTCGGTATGCCTCTACTTTCCATTGTCTTTTCGATTTCCAAGTCAAGTCCATCCTAACAAGCCATAACAGTCTTTGGCAGCGAAGCTCAACCCTTCGACCCAGCCAAGAAACCCCCCCACGTCCCAGCAGACCACACGCACCAGTGGCGGGTATTCGTGAAAGGCGTCAACGGCGAAGACATATCCTACTGGCTCAAGAAAGTACAATTCAAGCTCCACGAGACTTACGCCCAGAACGTGCGAACGATCGAACAGGCCCCCTTCGAAGTGACCGAAACCGGATGGGGTGAATTCGAGATCCAGATCAAACTATACTTTGTTCCGGAGTCAACCGAGAAGCCACAGACCCTATGGCATAGCTTGAAGTTGCATCCGTACGGGCCAGACGCGGAAGCGAAGAAAGAGCGCCGCGAGCTGGTGGTCAGCCAGAACTATGAGGAGGTGGTGTTCAATGAACCCGTGGAGCAGTTTTATGAGCTCTTGACGGGTGGCGCGGGGGCAGCAGGGCAGCCGCAGAAGGGAAAGGGTGGCAAGAATACCAAGCAGTCGCAGCAGCAGCAGAAAGGGGTAAGGACGGCTGAGATTCCAGCGAACTCGTCCGCGGAGAATCCGTATAGTCGGACGACGGAGAGTAGTGAGATGGATCGGTTGGGGGAGGCGAATAAGACGGTTGAACGGATGATCAAAGAGGAAAAGGAACGGTTGATTGAGCGGGAGAAGAAGTTGGCGGAGCTGCGTGCGAGTGAGGGCGTCCCGGCTACTACAAAGAAGCGTTAAGTGTTGAGAAGATTGGAATGTGGATGTTTTGATAACACGTTCTGAGACGTGCTCTACCCGCGTGTTGATACGCTTCGGTTGCCCAGTTGGCATCGTTATTGTCCGGCGATCTTTGGGTCCTCCTTGCTGGCATTGATAAACCAGTGTTCCCCGAAGTACTCCCTTCTTAGGGTGGGATAAGGCGCATCATCACTAGCCTACGGGACCCCGAAGGGCTCATGACCCTTGTATGCTGAGCCTTCGCTGCAGTGCTACTTCCAGGTTTATTACCTTGCTGGCAGACTCGCAGGACATACATCTGCACGACTTGGTAGCCTACAGTGAACAATTCCGGTTCAATACTATCATGATACAGGTTAACGCAGATAGTTAAAATTGAGGGCTACACATACAAATTGGATGCGAATATTATCATGCTTTTGAACTTTCAAGTGCTGGCTCATGTTCATGGCCTCCGGCTACTTGCACTGCCAGTGAGCCACGGCTGTCCGCATGGTCTGGTTTTCCTTAACCCGCCCAGCAACCATCCCCTAACATTCAGAACGTAGAGGCATGTTGAGACCAACCAATCCCTCATATAACAGATGTTCGGCTTCTGGTAGATCCAGCAAAGATCGCTTTTCCGTTTCATAACAGGTATTAGAAGCGACAGTCAACCCTGTTTCTCATTCAAGCCACGCTCGACAAGATCCATAATAAAATGGTGATACGATGCATCAGCTTACAAGAAGACCATAAATCTCTTTTTGAACAGCGATCGGCCTAGTCGAGGTGAGCGTAGCTGCGGGGACACTTCACGTAGCCAAGTCCGCGGAGGACGAAATGGAGGCTTGGAAGGCGTAATTTGAGGGCAAGCCCGAGTCCGTAGCAATAGCCGTGAGCAGTGCCAGGCAGGATAGCGTTTAGTGCTGCAAAGTCTGCTTAATGTGCATCACAGCGACACCCAGAGTAGTAGTAGCGCGGTCCATGATAATGCAGCGAATAAGGTAGTAGGGCCCCTCAAGCAAGGTTCAAAGGTCCTCGGGAGATTGCACGTTCGCAGATTATTAGCCTCTGGTTGGTCATCACATTGAGGCAGATCATGTGAAGTCAAGCTCAGGCATAGGACCTAGAAGCAGCGGCTCGCTGCAAGTTGGGTCGATGTATGCGGATAACAGCCCCGGCGAGAATATGCCTTGTGCGTCAGTCTCCACAGGTCTGGATGTGTCATTGCTGCTAACAACAGAGAGCCAAGCATTATTTTCAGGTGGAAAGCTGGGACCATTTCTTGAGGCTAGAGGCACAGCGTTGCTGGTTTGTGGATATCGAGACTCAATCCAGGCCGTAAATGTTTCTGCTGCTACGCTCCGGAGGAAGTAGTGAGCTCGATTTGCGATGGGCCATTTCTGTTTCAGTGTCTTCAGACAGCCTAGAACCAAAATGATTCTGTTACAGTGATGATCAGAACATTCTGAGGAATGGATGCGACTTGTGGCAAGCTGGACCATTCCACACAGTACTAAGCTGAAAACGACAAATGGACTGTATCTCTGCACGCTGGGGCGGACTGAAAGAAGATTGGAGAGTTGCTTGGATGCCTCCGTAGCTTTAATATCATGAACATGTCGGGTGAAGGATGGCGAAAGCCGAGATGGAATCACTGGGCAAATCGGACATTCTGTTTCTGGACAGACGGGCCGAAGACTGCTTCTTGGAAGATGCAGGAGCATTGCAGCAAAGTGGATAGTAGTGTGTGCCTGGAACAGTATTTCATCAACGCTGCCGTACGTATCCACGATATCGACTTTGTTTGGTGGAAGGTGATTTGTCCAGCTGACAAGCGCATTTTCCACAGCTTGCAGGTGATCCCTGTGTGTTTCTGGCAGGCTATTGAGGACTAATACCCGGGCCAGGATGCATACCGCTTCAATACGATAGCTGAAAGATGAGTAGCTTGTTTCTTCATCAGCGAAGATGCGTTTATTGAACCCAGCAAGAGTGGGCGGTGAGGGTATATTGGTGTAATTGGCATATACGGACTCCTCGCACGGCAAAGCAACGTCGTAAGGAACACCGCTGCATCGCAAGACCACTCTCTTCTGCAAAGCTGCCATGTAGACATCGACGATAAAAAGCTCCCACCAAGTCCGGCGCAAGCTCTCAGCTTCTACGGCATTGGAAGACGTGGACGCAAACTCTTGTCGGTACATTCCAAGTTCCAACGCAATGTCGACAGCTTGCGAAAAGGATGTGTGAGCTTGCGAGCACTCGCCGCGAGCGGATGAAAGTATCGAATAAAGCAAAAGTGCCTGAACCTTGCATGGCGTCCTTTCTCCATCAGCGCTCAGTTGCACACTGGCCATATCAGGAAGGGAGCCAGTTGATAAGAAATGGCCACCTATGAGTGTGACTACTTCATGCAAGTACGCTGGGTACTTGCGTTCTTCATACAAGGGCGCGGGAACCAGGATTGGATGCGCTGAGTGAAAGTTCTCATAATACAGGCGGACTAGCCGAGCATCCGAATCTGCAGCGTCTTGAGCTTGGCCTTCCACGACTGGGCTGATGCGCTGGTTCTGCTGACCAGAAACAGTCGAAGAAGCATCACGCCCACTCATATCGGTAGGGTGAGGTGACAAGAGCAAGTCCGCGGAAGATGCATCGTGATGCTGCCGAAGTGCTTCACGGGTTTTCCGTCTCCCTCCACGTCTAGAAGGAAGATAATTACACTTTAGTCGGTTCTGTAGGCAGCGAGAGCAGGTGGGGGCTTGGGCGTCGCATTTGAGATGCTGCTTGCGACATTCCGTACAGGCCAGCGGTGACGGACGAGTCATGTTCAGTATTCCGGCTGGGAGCTCTCATTCATTCTGACATATGTCCAAAGAGTATGAAAAGTAGTAGCATAGTATCAATAAATACCAACGACTGTTCCGGGGGCGATGAGACAGAAGAAGAATCCAGCTGGCGTCGAAGCAGATACAGTCATGGAGATGCACACTTTATGGTCCATGCCTACTCGGGCAAATGCAGACTCATAAGCTCACATGACTAATCTATTTTATGCATAAAGAGTAAGTGAATATCGCCACTGCAGTACCTCGCAAAGTCAATGAATTCTATTTTATCTCTTTATAATTTTATCCGTAAGTGAGTCCATCTTATATGCAATAAGAATCGAATTATCTGTTTTAGACTATGTGGGAAAATAATTTTTATTATCCAATCTGCATCAACTACCTCGAAGAGCGGCAGTCCTGAAAAGACATTGAACTGGGTATTAATATGCATGGCTTATTTGCCTCAAACTGATCCAGGTCGCTGTAATACAAAGATGCGAATAGCAACAGTCTCTGGAATTTCAGATTCCAGGTCTGCCAAAGCCCAATTAAAATGCATACATATGAATCAACGCTAGTTATGAATCATAGCGAGTGTCCTGCACTCGTCTGTCCTCGTCCAAATCCTCCTCTCACTCCCTAAGATGCCTGATACACATGGCTGCTCCGTCCAGTCTCGCGATCATAAATGTTGTAGCCGAAGTCCGCGGCATTAGGCGGCGTATACACTGCAGACGCATCAGACAAATATAACTTTCCGCAGGATCAAGGCCAGCTTACAGTGCAAAGAAACAGCAACTTGATCTTTCTGTGGGTTCATGACCCTATGCAATCCGATCTGGTCACAGATATACGCAACTTCGTCGGTCTTGTACGTTGTCTCTTGCTTGACCGTCAAAGGCGCATCGTGGCCCCGTTCGGGGTCTGGCGTGTCGTATATCACTTCGTTCAGTTCTCCCCCTAGAATCTTCATGATGCAGTGCGCATCTGCGTGATCATGGATGGGCGAGCCTTTTTGCGGGTTCCAGACCAACACCAGCTGTCAACTTGTTAG